TAAGGTATACAAAATTATTTGATGTGTATACACAGTGACATGATTACTGTAGTGAAGATAATTAACATATCTCACCACATAATTACCATCCCTTGTGTGTGTGGTGAGAGCACCTGAAATCTACTCTTCTAGCAAATTCTAAGGTTCGATACCATATTCCTAACTACAGTCATACGCTGAACACGAGATCGCTAGACTTCCTCATCTCACCTAACTACCACTCTGTACCCTTTCACCAGCATCTCTCCATTTCCCTCAGCAACCTACCCCTGGTAACCAGCATCTAACTCCATGCTTTTAGTGTTCAACTCTTGTAGATTCCACGTATCAGTGACAGCATGTAGTCCTTTTTTCTTTCTTCTGTGTCTGTCTTATTCTACTTAGCATAATGCCCTCAGTGCTGTCCATGTTGCTGCAAATGACAGGATTTCCTTCCTTCTAATGGCTGACTAATAGTCGTGCGTATAGCATACTTCTTTATCTGTCCGTCCACTGATGGACACGTAGGTTGTTTCCATATCTTGGCTATTGTGAATAATGCTACAGTGAGCATGGGGGTGCAGACAGCTCTTCGGGATTCTGGCTTCATTTCCCTGAGTATATACGCAGAAGTGGGATTGCTAAATCACCTCGTCTTTCTGTCTTTCTTTCTTTCTTTCTTTCTTTCTTTCTTTCTTTCTCTCTCTCTTTTTTTTTTTAGAAATCCACTCACTGATTTCCATAGTGGACATATCTATTTACATTCCTATTAATAATGTATTGGAGTTCACTTTTCTCAACATCTTATCAACATCTGTTTTTTTTTTTATGCTAACCATCCCAGCAGGTGTGAGGTGGTACCTCATTGAGGTTTTGATTTGCATTTCCTGATGAGAGTGATGCTGAGTATCTTTTCATGTGTCTGTTGACCACACAGAGCCAAGGAAAAAACGAAATGCAAAAGTAACCTACAGATTGGGAGAAAATGTTCACAAACCGTGTATCTGATAAGGGGCTAATATACGAAATATGTGGGGAAAACATACAACGCCATAGTAAAACAACATACAACTTGATTTAAAAATGGACAAAGGACCTGAATAGATATTCTCCAAAGAAGAAGGTGTACAAAGACCAGTTGAAATTTTAATACTGATTGCATTGAATGTGTAGTTGTTTTTTGGTAGCACATCTTAAACTTAAGAGAAAAAAAAGTGGGAAGGTATGGCCTGACCTTGCAGGAGATAATTACGAGTGTGTGAATTACAGTCACCTTATGGAGGCTTTTTGTCTAAATCACCCTAAGATGTATAAATGTTCTCATTTTCCTGACTGCGGTGTGGGTGTGGGTGTGGGTGTGGGTATATCTGAGGCATTTTATGATTTCTTTTTTTTTTTCTTTTTCCCCTCTCGCGAACCTAATTGGAGCTCTAGCAATGTTATGATCCTCTCAAAGATGACTACAAGACCATTTTATTTTTATTCACTTTTATCCTTTCTACTTTGGGTTCACTTCCCTTTATTCTAGTTCCTTAGGGTAGAAATTTACATTGTTGATTTGTGAGCTTTACCCCTGTCAATCTTAAAAGCATTCATGTTATAAATTTCTCTCTAAGCACTGCTTAAGTTGCATTCCCACAAATTTTGGCATGCTATTTTCATTTTTGAGAAGTTTAAAATATTTGCTAACTTCTCATGTGATTTCTTCTCATACCCATTAGAAGCATGTTGATTAATTTCCACATATTTGGGGATTTTTCCAGATATCTTTCTGTGATTCATATCTTTGTGAAAAACCACTGTGGACAGACACAGTGTATATCTGGGTATGATACACAGTGAATAATTTCAATTTTTCTTCATTCTTGAGACTTGTTTTATAGCCCGATAGAGCTATATTACATAACATTTCAATGGATTCTGTGATTATTGGGTAGAGTGTCCTCTAAGTTTCATTAGGTCACACACTGATGAACTGTTGTTCACGTCTTCCATATTATTCCTGATGTTTTGTCTGTTTTTGCTTTCTGTTATGAGTGAAGTGTGGTAATATCTAATTGTAATTACTTATGTATTGGTTTCTCTTTTCATTTCTACCAGTTTTCCTTTAAGATTTTAGGGACTCTGTTATTAAGAGCGTTCTAATTTAATATGAACATATGTTCTTGGTGAATGAACCACTTTATACCTGGGGAAAATATGCCTTTTTATCTCTCATAATACTCCTTCTAAAATATACTTTGATTTATAGGCAATTAGCCTGTATGGCCAATCGTATTTTCTTTAGCACATCTGTTTTCAGTCTTTTATTTTTAATCTATCTTTGCCTTTCCATTTGATACCCCAAGTGGGTTTCTTATAGCATGTATCTTATTTTTTAAGAAGCTAACAATCTCTCCCTTTGAGATAGAATCTTAGCTGTACATGTTGTACCCGAGTTTTCATGAGAGACCACAAGGAGCCAACACCGATGCAATCACACGAGGGTTTATTTAACAAGCTTAAGCTTGGGCCCAAGTATACCCGACACAGAGGAGTAGGGACTTGGACCCCGAACCAGATTACAGTCAGCATTTTTAAAGGCAGAGTAGGGGTGGACTCAGGGATGGATGAGGACAAAGGGGATTAGGGATGATGTAAGTCTCTAAGGAATTTTGGAAGCAAGGTCTCTAGGACCTTGAGGGGCTAGCTATTGTTGGGAGAAAGGTTATTTATCACTAGCAATAAAAAATCTTCTCGTGAGACCCTTTAGATGTATATCAGTGGATCATATGCTTGGGAATGATTGCTGACACTATCTTGGAGGTTTAGAGATAAAGTTTCACATTTCTCCGATCAAGGGTCCTTGTTAGTGAGATTTAGATTTAGAAGAAATTTAACTTTATTTCCATTTCCTTCCGCTTCAGCCTCCTTCAGTTTTACGGAGGGGAGGGCGATATTAGGGCTTGAGGAACTGAGTTATTCGCCTCTGGAAATTGGGCTATTGATAAGATAGCTTCTTTGTTGTAAAATGTCTCTAGGACATCTGTAGGCCGAGGGAGACTCCTGTCTTGCAGGATTGTGATCTCTGCAGGTTAACTATTTGCTTTTCTTTTAGGGCACCCAAGGGTGGCTGAGGAATGCCACACATACTACCGAGGGGAGGGGAGCCGGTGGAGAGGGGGTGCAAGGTGCCAGCTTTTGCTTTGTCAAGATGGCTGTACTTATGTCAGGGCTAGACTCGAGGTGGGTACAGCCTTGTTTTTCTTGGCCTCCACATACATTTTACTCCAGCCTGCAGAGCCAAATTTCCATCCGGCATTATTTTTCTTCTGACTGGAGCTTTTTTTTTTTTTAATAGTGCAGGTTTTCTGGGAAGGAATTTTCTTAGCTTTTTGTTGTTGTGGTTTAAAAAATTCCCCCCCCCTTTTTTTTAAAAATAGACTTTTTAGAGCAGTTTTGGGTACACAACCACACTAAGCAGAAGGTGTAGAGATTTCCCACATGTCTTTACATAGGCACGGCCTCCCTCAGGTTCTACAGCCTCCCAGGGTGTCCACAGCCTCCCAGCGGCTATGTTAGTTACAGCTGATGCACCTGCACGACGCACCATGACCACGCAGAGTAGTTCCAGAACAGTTCACTCGAGCTCCACAGCCCAGCTACACATGCAACCCCTTCCTGAGGACTCTCTCCGCGCTGCTGTGGGAAGGCACGTGTTCCGGCCTGGTATGTGTTCCTGGAATGTGTTCCTGGAATTGTCCATCCAGTCCCTTTGGCGTGTTTTTGTTTTGCTCTGGGCTTGCCAAGTTTCACCCCAGGCGTGCTCAGACCAGCACCAGACCAAGATTCTAGGGAACCCTCTGCTGCTCGTGGAGCTCCACCCCCATCCGGATGCCCCCTTCCGGTTTTCAGCGCTGAGTTGTGCTGCCTGAACTCAGAAGGATTGCTGGTCGGCCTGGGTTCTCCCCTGTGCTTTGGTCTGGGGTCTGCTTCCCAAGACAGGGGGTCTACCTCATGTCCCGCCCCCCACCCCTCCTGCAGCCGCAGCGCCCCATGCTGGCTGTGCAGTGTCTAGAAGTGTTGTCTCCCATCTATGTCTGCTCCCCTAGTTGCATCCCGTCGGAGGGCAGGTCCCACAGCAGTTCATGCTTTTTTGATGGAAAGTGGGATCGAGGCTCTTCTCTTTGGGAATCTGCTCCCATCTTCTGACAGCTGGTTCTCTTGCTTTTCCATAGGGCTGGTGTGGGGAAGATGGGTCTCCTACGGCAGCTCCTGGAATCCTTCAGTATCAACATTGAGAGGACACTGACTAGTTAAACCTCAGGGCCTCAGACCACCGGGATGAAACAGGTTCTCAGCAGCTTTTGTGCTCAAGGCACTTTCCTAGGCCATCCAGAAATGATTAAGACGAAGTCTTTGCCCTTAAAAATGATGCAACCAGACATGGAGATTGGAAATAAGCGAATGGTACAACGCAGAAATCAAACAAAATTCAGAGAAGAGGTTTTCAGTCCGAACCCTGCAGTGTGCCAGAGGAAAGCTCCTATTCTTTTGGGAAAGCAGCTCTCTCTGTAAGGAGGTGGTCGCATTTGCCATGGCGCCTGGGGGATGGGCTAAAGTTTAGAGATAAAGCTGGAAAGGTGATTGTATGGCTGGTGGGAGGTCAGCTGGAACAGAGGCACGGGTGATAGGAAAGCTAAGGGAATTTTTTAGGAGGAACAGGGAGGCCAATCTCTTTGGGGAGCATAATTTGCAAAAGAGGAGTCAAATCTGATAACGCTTGGAAAATAAGTTTAGACCTTTTTGAGGATTCCTCCAGAGATTATCCTGCATTTGAATTAAAGGCGAGTCCATGAAAACTTTCTAACTTACCAGTTTGGTAACAACTACCACAATAACCAGAATTTAAAAAGGACAATCAAGCTTCTCTTTCTTTTGAAAAAAAAAAAAATTTTTTTTTTTTAATTTGATTTTTCTTCTGTAAACTTCCAGGAGGCATTTTCACACTTAACAATGTTCCCAATCAGCGTTTCCGGATTTTATTTCTTTCTTCGGCAGCATTTTCGGCCCAAGGAAGAACAACGGCCTATCTGCTCCTCCTTTGGCAGACAGGTAAGCACAGCACACCGCCCGCTCCTTATTCGGCAATAATACCTCTGCAAGGTATTTATAATTCCTCCGTTTCCTGCAAGGACAAAATAGAACACAGGGGAAGGCTTTAGTCCAAGTACAAGGCTTTTGGCTTTTGGAATTCCCCAAATAACCAATCTGCTGCCTTTCTTTTATTTTTCCCGTCCCCTTTCTTGAATTGGAAAGTGAATTCAGTTATAGTTGTATGCCTCATAGGGTTGAACACATACATACATTGCTTTAAATCAAGAAACGAGAAAACACACATTGGAAAGATACTGGTTTGAATTTGGTAGATACCAATTTGTAATTTCCTTTATAAATAAAATATTATTCTGATCACTATCCCAGGGAATTGTTTGTTTTTCTTTTATTTTAGGATGTTTTCTCTCTTTTTAAATCACCTTTTCCTTTCTTTAGAAAATGAGAAGTAAAGTAGAGGAAGGATTAAGCAACCAACTGACCTGTGCTCAGCCGGGGACCAAGGTGGCCATCGGGGAGGGATGCGGCTGGGCTCGCGGGGGCTGGGGCTGCAGGGGCCCCCTGAGGTTCGAAGCCCCCCAAAGACTCCACTTACAACCCCTAAAGCTAGTAAGTAGGAGTCTGTGCTTCTGATCTCAGATTAAATCCATCTTTCCTGCTGGAGTTAAAGTTTTTGTATCACTTTCTTTATGTCTCTCGAGCAGGTAAGGTTCGTCCCTGTCCATGACGGGCTGGTCTTTGTGAGCTATTTAGTCTCTGAAAAGGTCGGGGAAACGGCTTCAAGATCCTTGATGAGTCTCACCAGAAAAAAGAAACTGGTGATGTCTGTTCCCATACAACAAAATCTACCTGGTCTGAAGTTTCCGAGGAATGGAAACGGACTGACTCTGAATGACATACTTGCAATTCCTTCAACCCTCTCACCTCCCAACCCATCTCACCTGGAACAGGCATCAAAAACAGAAAGGGCAACAGGAGAAGAAGGTAATAGATCCTCATGGCCGACCGGCTTCTCGGCGTGCTGAGACTGGGTGGGAAGGTGTGCTCGCCCGCTTTATAAGGACTGCAGGACACGCCACGCAGCCATAGGGACAGGTAAGCAGCCCCTGCAATTCCTGTAATAGTACAATGATGACAATATGACGTGTTTCCTGATGCTTCATGCCAGTGTCTCTTACCCCACAGACCACGCCCACTCACCCCTAGTTAATTGCAAACCTAAAGGGTGAAGCAATCCTGATGTGAGCACACAGCTATTCTGATGTCCTCTAGGCTCCAGGAGCGCCTCCGGGTCTGGCCGGGAGCTAGCTGCAGGTATAGGTGGCAAAGACCCTCTCCTCTTGGGGGCATTCCCAGGGCATATAGTTGGGAGCTGCCCATGCCCCCACTGGGGTACTTCTAAGCTACCTTCCTAAAGTCCTAGAAGATTCTGGAGCTCACCTGGGACCCTAGCAGTCCAGCTTTGGACATATTCAGAATCCAGGTGCAAGCTCAGGCTGGGTCACACCTCGAGCCTGCACAGGTATGCCTGAAATTGAGATAAAATGGGATCAGCTTCCTGATAATAAGAAAGGGAGGATAAATGGGCTACTTTCCAGAATCCCTTACTCTATGCTCTTTGGTGTGCAATATGGGCTGTAACTTGGGTGAAACAGGGTTTACAGTTCATCATTGTCTGAAAACTGTCAGATTCATGAGTCAAGGTGTCTCATCCTCCTTCATCAGAGAAGGAGAATGCTGGGATGATGTATTTGGTGGGCCAGCACCTCTTCCTTCTTGGTGACACTCCCTATACAAATAAGGGGCTTAGGAAGGTGCATTTAAGACTTTTGGTTACTCATGTCTTGGGAGCATTCAAGGAAGTCCAGAGATCAGGTGATCTCCACTGGATATAGATTCAATGTTTTAAGAACCAGCTTTAAAAAAATATATTGGACTTAAATGTTAAGGAATCCATTAGTGGTTTATATTTTTGTCAATAGGCTATTTAATTGGGAGCTGAAGTCACCATGACATTGTCTGGCTGTTGTGTTGCGTGAACGCAGTTACAACGGATCCACCAAGGTCCAGGTGTATTAGTTCTAGGAGTGCGTGTTCAGGATCCTGGCACACCCATCAGATTCTGTAAGCCATCTCTGAACACCTCCCATAGAGAGACAAGTGCCATATGCTCGGGGTCATAGGGATGGAAGGGGGTGGGATGCAAAGAGTGACCAGTTCAAGTTCTTTCTCTCAGAGAGCATCTGTGTAGGTAAAGGCAGAAGGCGTGCAGTCAAAGGCACAGAGGGGGGCATTTCGACAAGTATCACAGTACAGGTTCTAGCACAAGGCTATAGAAATGGAGAAGAAATGTAATTCACAGCGGAAGGCAGGTTTAGATGATTTAAGAAGGGTTTCAAGTGGTAGACACTTCCCTTTTTTTAAATCAAAATTTTCTCAGAAGTTCAGGATTTAAAACAAAGCAGGTATTATCTTATTTATTTATTTACTTATTTAGAGAGAGGCGTGAGGAGGGGCAGAAGGAGAGGGAGAGAAAGAATCCTAAGCAGGCTCCATGCCCAGTGTGGAATCCCACGCGGGGCTCGATCTCACGACCCTGAGATCTTGACCTGAGCCGAAATCAAGAGTCAGATGCTCAACCAGTGAGCCACCCAGATGCCCCCAAGCAGGTATTTTTAAGTGGGGAAGGAAGTGAGTGTGGGGCCGGATGGCTGTTAGCCACACAGACAGCCTTGCTCAGTCTTACGCAGGCTAGGAGAGAGGGCGGGGTGGGCATTGCAGGAACGTACAGCCCGCTCTCAGCCCAGGTGTGGGGCTGGTCTTAGGGGGATGATTTATCTTCCACATGGAAGACAGACCCCCGGTGACCTCTTGGTGTAACTGGTTCCTTCAAAGCCTGGAAGGTATTTCCAAGGCAATGCCACTATTTTGTAAGAGGGAATGAAAGCTGTTTTCCTCATCAGCTAATTTGGAAGCTGGTGCTCGGGGACTGGGCTTAGTCAGCGGCACCCTCCTCATTCCAAAATGAATTTTGAGGAACACTTTATATATGTTAGGGATTTATATATAGGTTAATATATAAATATATAAATATATATAAATATATAAATATATAAATATATAAACCTATATGTAGGTTTATATATGTTAGGGATGTTGTGGTAAAAATTCAAATAATAGAAGAGGTAGACCATGTTCTTTACTTTTCCTCTACCTGTGGGAAGCCCTGGTAACTGGGGTTTGCCTTCTTGGCTTATTATACCTTTTTTTTTTTTTTTAATGTCAGGAATACCTCAAGCCTCTTCAGTCCTAGTAGTCACACAACCTCCAGCTGAGAGTGAAGACGCCGCCACGGTGTTGGATGCACTGGGAAGACCTGGCCCCGCTCCCTGGCCCTGGACCCTTGAGTCCTAGAGCCTGGACCTGCAGACTGAGCTTGGAACCGCAGACTCCACACCCCGATACCCTGGCGTCCAGATTCTCTCTCAGCTCTAAAGCGCTTTCCCAATGCTGAGAAGGTTGGGGAGGAGAGATGTCAATTATTTAACTTTTCTATTAGACATTCCGCTCTTTTTTTTTTTTTTTTTAATTTATTTTGCAAAGATGGAACAGAGATTTGGTTGATGCAAGTTTTGGGTCTGGGGCGACCCTATGTGGAGGTCAGACCACTAGGACACTGGGTTAGGGACCAAAGTTAGCCGTTTAACTCTCAGCCCCAACACCTATTATTTGAGTTTCCTACAGGAAGTTCCTTAGAGCCCTGAGCATCTGAGCCCTCAGCAGTAAGCTCGCAGGGGAGGCCCTCGGAGCGAATGCCGTGAAACACACTGACAACTGTAAATTAGCACGTGACCTGAGTATCACCCGTAGGGCCCTCAGGAAGCCCAACCAAGGAGGGGATGGTGATCCTCAGGAAGCTTAAAGATGATGGCCTGGGCTCTCAGCACAGGAATCCAGGATATGTGTTCCTTTCTTTATCTTATCACCATCCAAAAGTGGCCCAGCCACTCTCCTTCATGGCGGTTTTGACCTTGTCCTGCCCACTGCTGAATGAGTTACACAGGCAAAGGGAGGCCTGATCCCAGTCTTATGGTGGAGGACACTGAGGTGTAGGCTGAGTGGCTTGCCCTCCTAGGCCACCCAGACTGTCAATGGCCGCACTGTGAACTACAGGGAATTGTGTACATTTTTCAGGAGCCCCTGCTCTCCATGCGCCATATAGACTGGCCACAGGGATGCCTTCGCAGAAGGTGGGAAGGCAGGAGGTGGCGAGAAGCCAAGGTATTCCTCTGCTGTTCCTCAGAAGGCATCTCCTCTGGGCCTCCGATTCCTACCAGAAATCCACTTCATTCATGGTCCTGGCTTCCACCAGGCAGGTCCGCCATCACCTGTTAGGAGCTCCATATCTTAGGCTTTGGAAATATTACCTTCTTCCTCCTTCGGTCCCTCTGGCCTTAGGGACAGGATTGCCTTTCGGCTGCTGCCAATTCTGAGGTGACTCACTATACGCTTGGTTTGTCAGCTCTCTTAGATAACCATCGATATTAAATTCTCCCCATTGATGTTCTTAAATATCTATCAGTTTCTCTGGTTGGACTTTGACGGTCTTCAAAGTCCATGCTCTAAACCATCACAGTATCGTAGTTCTGTCCCTTCCTCTCCTTGAGATGTCACTGCGTTGTCACCAGCTAGAATAATGCTTTGCTCTACACGGCCCTCCTGAATGTCCCATCAACATCTCAAGATTTAGCAGGAAGTGGGATCTTTGAGGCGGTGGTAGGGGGTTGAAAGTCCATGCCAGCTTCTTGTGGCCTCTTGTTACCTGCTTCCACTGCAGGTGTATGCGAGGTGGTTTCTAGCGTTCTCATTTATCACTGCTATTTTAGCTAAATTATTTTTCCACAAAATAATGTAAGCAAGGAAACAGGAAAAAGAAAAGCTTCCTCCAACTATGTAACCATAGATTACCTTTTCTTCAAGAAAGGTAACAAACTGTAGGCCTCTAGCTGGAACCATTCATGGAGGTACTTTGTTTTTCCAGGGAATTAGGCCCCCAGGGAGGTTTTAATGCCCAGCTGAGCAGGTCAGCCCATCGCTGAGCAGGCTGTCCCATCTGCCCTGCTTTGTGCCTTGATATGTTTGCTGAGCTCCTGAGAGCATCTGAGCTAGGCCTTCCCCTGCCCTAAAAGATACTGTCTTCCCTCCAAACCCAAGTCAGACAGCTACTTCTCAAGGTCAGGAGGTGGGCTACGAGAAGCAGAGCTTTCATTGCACACAGGTCAACCGAGTTGTCTGTCTTCGCGGAACCATGCCGTTTGGACAAATACTTTGTATCACCCTCAGCTAGCAAGCTTTCTTGGCAGTTTTGTATCTTGCAAGCATGAACAAAGATTGTTGTCCCTTCAGCTTCCTGCAAATGCCCCTGTATGGTCAACACTTGATTTGCTGTTGTGCTCTATCCACTGTACAAAAAAAGGAGGGATATATCTATGGAAAGGCAAGGGAGGTATGCAAGGAAGGGATAAGGCTTGGGCCTGGGGGACCTACCAGGAGTCACAGGACGCCGTGGGTTGATGGGGTGCCACAGAGAGTCAGACACCACTCTTCTCCCCAGGAGCCACCACAGAGGTGGCGAGGCATAGAGCCAAGTTAGGGAGCAGTGAGTCGTCTAGTTGGGCCAAAGGCAAGTAGACGAGCATGTTGGGCAGGTTTGCATTTAATTTGGTAGACCGGCCATGGATTCATGAGAAACTAGATCTAAGATTTAAATTCTCTAACAGGATAACCACCCGCTGACAGCTCCTTCCAGAAACGCTGAGAAGGGGGACGCTTGGGTGGCTCAGTCGGTTAAGAGTCTGCTTTCAGCTCAGGTCATGATCCCAGAGTCCTGGGATCGAGTCCTGTATCGGGGTCCCTGCTCAGCAAGGAGCCTGCTTCTCCCTCTGCCTGCTGCTTTCTCTCTCTCTCTCTCTCTCTCTCTCTCTGACAAATAAATATAT